AGTAAATTTGTATCAAGGTGATATCCATTAAAGTGTTTTTAACAATTAGAAAGTAAATACAATGTAGTTTGAATTGTTTTTTTTTTTTTTTTTTTTTTTTTTGCAGTGGAAACGAGTGAAAGAGTGCGCTCAAAGGATTACGAGATCGATTTCGATTAGCGACTAATTTGGACATTAGCCTCTAAATGATGAAAAATTGCTTGCAGTTGAAAAATGCTTTCGATTCATTTAAAAGGATATAGGCATTTTTATTCAATAGTCGAAAACATTTGAAATGTAGTTTTGATTCATGACAAATTATAAGCTATTAAAAAGCGTTGTAGGTAAAATTTAAACCAAAAAAAAATCTGTTAGAAAATATAATATAGTATATTAAAATAAAAATGAATAATTCAAGAGGTTCATAATATTATGACCAGGGAGTGAACTCTGCAAATGGAGATAAATATTACTTTCCTAGGTCACATATATAATACACAAGCAAGCGTGAAAATAAATCGATTCTATTTAAAAGTGGTGGGTTAAATAAACTACTTGAAGTAATTCATACCTGTGTAGAAAACTGTTGCACTCGTAATTAGCCAGACTAATAAGAAGAACCAGAGTTTTAATATGCAGTTATAGATCAAATTATAAACTTCTTTATAGTATTATTTCATGCACATAAACCATAATAATGGTACAAGAAAATCAATTTTCGACGTAGAAATTACATGGAGAAAAATGGATTATACAATTAGGATTATAGAAAAAAAGATCATACTGAATATAATCTGATTAATACCCTTTATAATCTACTAACAAACTTTCAATGTTTTAGAATTATTTCTGGTATTCACAATGGATTATAAATTTCAAGTTATTAAATTCTACAAAAATTTCTTTTCGGTTGCCATTTTGACTTAAATCCTCGCTGGTTGCAATTATTGAGAATAAATTTGTACCGATCCGGATGTTAAATATGGCAATTGACGCGGTTCAAACTTCCAAAGTTGGATCCGACTTTTGGATTCATTTTTCCTGTCGTCGGTACAGGCATTCTTCCTTCTAACAACCGGATGGGTACTGGCTATTTTTATTATTTCTAACAATAGACCATTATAGCTTCAAAAAATTGCATCGCAACAATTTTGATACTTTTTTTGTCTCACTTTGATATCCTTAGAAAAACTATTTGTATTCTTTTATTTGAAAAAAAGTTAATGAATAATTTTTACTTTCTGCACCAATTAGACAAAATAGTTTGTTACGTTACTTAAAAACGTTTGGACTTGTCAACTAAATTTACTGTTTTGAATTTTGTTTATATCAGACTTTAGGTGTTTATAATAAGTCACTGACCCCAAATACCCTTGGGCTCGCCCTTGGGTAAATTGCTTCAAGCGAATTGCATCAAGTTTAGCAAAATTCGTGCATTGTGAAATTTTCATCTATATAGTACCCCTTTATAAAAATACACACGCTGTCATCCTAAGGGTGCATGCGATCAATGCGGCTTTCGTCTTGTATTAAAGAGCAGAGATCAGTCTTCAATTTCTGATAACAGTTGACTTTATAGGTTCCAAAAAAAACTTTGTAATTTAATCATTCATGTCCAAGTTATAAAATGCAGGCTTCACAGTGCCCCTAAAAAGTATTTTATGGGAAATAGGGAACTGAAAATTAAAAAATAGGGGACTTTTAGAGGACCATAAAAATTGGTTAAATAAAGATAGAAATATAATTTATTTATACAGGGTTGCCACAAAATTTTAACTTTATTTTTCCCTGACTTTTCCTAAATTTTCAAACACAACTTTCACTTATATTTTTCCCTGACCCTAAAGAATATTCTGTATTCACTCTCAAAATTATTAGATACTCAAAAAAATGTTTTATTAAATTTATTTACAAATTTCTTCAAAAGTCAAATTATTCGAAAACATCAATAGTTTTATTTCAAATAAATATTTAATAATTTTTTTCATTGGAACTAAGATGTACAAAAATTTCAAATTCAAATCTTCTTGAAATTAAACAATTTAAAAAAAAATTATTACAAAACATAAAAACATCTATTACTCCGAGTAGTCCGAGTCTTCGATCCATTTCTTTATGTTTTATAATAATTAATGATGACCGACTGACAAAATCATTTAGTGAAGGAACTTGCTAATGAATTGACAATTGTTTCATGAGAAATTCTGGGAAAATTCAAATAATAATTAATAATTTATGAAAATAATTGAATTCATGAGAAGAATTTAATTAAATTTTTTGAAAATAATTGATTTCTTGAGAAGAATTTAAAAAAAAATTTTGACAATAATTTAATTCTTGAGAAGAATTTACCTATCTATTTTATTTATAAAGATAATTTAAATTTTGATGAGAATTTTTATAAAATTTTGAAAATATTTGAATTTTGGAGAAGAATATTTATAAAGATAATTGAAATTTTAACGAGATTTTTATTAAAATTTTAAAAAATAATTGAATTTCTAAACAGAATTTTATTATTTACGAAAATAATTAAATGTTCGCGTAAAATTTTATTGGAAATTTTTGAAAATAATTGAATTCTTTTGGAAAAATTAATTAAAACAGTATCTATTGAAAATTATTGAATTTGTCGAAAATTTTTGAAAATAATTGAAATTTTGAAAAGAATTTTATTAAAATTTTTGAAAATAATTGAATTTCGGAGAAGAATATTTATAAAGATAATTGAAATTTTAACGAGATTTTTATTAAAATTTTAAAAAATAATTGAATTTCTAAACAGAATTTTATTATTTACGAAAATAATTAAATGTTCGCGTAAAATTTTATTGGAAATTTTTGAAAATAATTGAATTCTTTTGGAAAAATTAATTAAAACAGTATCTATTGAAAATTATTGAATTTGTCGAAAATTTTTGAAAATAATTGAAATTTTGAAAAGAATTTTATTAAAATTTTTGAAAATAATTGAATTTCGGAGAAGAAAGTTATAAAGATAATTGAAATTTTGACGAGATTTTTATTAAAATTTTAGAAAATAATTGAATTTCTAAATATAGAATTTTATTATTTACGAAAATAATTGAATTCGTGTAAAAAGTTTATTATTTATGGGAATAATTAAATAATTGGGAAGAAATTTATAAACAATTTGTAAATAATTGAATATCTGTGAAATTTTATTGGAAATTTGTTAAAATAATTAAATTCTTTTGGAGAAATTTATTAAACTAGTAGATACTGAAAATTATTAAATTGAGGAAAATTTTTGAAAATAATTGAAATTTTGCCAAGAATTTTATTATAATTTTTAAAAATAATTGAATTTTGGAGAAAAATTTTATTATTTAAAAAAAAATTGAAATTTTGACAAGATACTTATTTATAAAGATAATTTAAATCTTGACGAGAATTTAAAAAATTTTTGAAAATAATTCAATTTCTGCAAAGTATTTTATTACTTTTCAAATAAATTAAATTCTTGTGATGAATATTGATATTTATCAAAATAATTGAATTTTGGAAAAGAATTTTATTAAAATTCCTTAGAATAGTTCATTTTTCATAAAATTTTTAATAATAATTGCATTTTTCAAGGAATTTATTTAAAATTGTATTAAAAATTTTTGAAATTCTGCGATGAAAATAATTGAATTCGTAAATGAAATTTCGTTATTTATAAAAATAATTGAATCTTTTCGTAGAATTGTATCAACAAGTTTTTTCTATAATTAAAGTTGTTGATAAATTTTATGAAAATAGTAAATATTTAAAACATTGAATTGCGAAAAACTTTTAAAAATAATTGAAATGTTGCAAAGAATTTTATTAAAATTTTTGAAAATAATTGAATTTTTGGCGAAAAATGTTGCTATTTATAAAAATAATTGAATTTTTGACGAGATATTCATTAAAATTTATAAAAATAATTGAATTCGTGCAAAGTATTTTATTAAATTTTGTTTAAATAATTGAAATTTTGCCAAGAATTTAATTAAAATTTTTTTGAATTCTTGAGAAGAATTTTGATATTTATCAGAATAATTGAATTTTGGAAAAGAATTTAATTAAAAATCCTTAAAATAATTGAATTTTTGGGGAGAATTTTGTTGGTTATCAAGATAATTGAATTCTTTTGCAGAATTACTTAAAAATTATTGAAAATAATTGATTTCCTGCGACGAAAAAAATAGGGGAAATTTTCAAAATAGGGTACGTTTAGGGGACAAAATTAAAAAAAGGGGACTTTTATGGAAATAGGGGACAGACTGTGAAGCCTGTCACTGAATAATTGTAAAACTTAATAATCAACTTAATAATTGTAAAATTGAAAATTTTGAAATTGCAGATTCAAAATGACAGATTAAATTCTTTTGCAAATGCCTGAATTTAAATGAAAATTTTTCTTTTTACATTTTTAAGGTCACTGAATTGAAATAAAATTGTCAAATTGAAAAATTCAAAATTGCTATGAACTATATTTTTTAAAATACATGACTTCATTGACCAGAAAAACATTAAACATTTCACGTACCATAAAATTTCCTTCTTAAACTACGAATTTGTTCATATTTTACAACTTGGACATAAAATTAAAATCATACTAAATACAATTTTAGTTAAATAAATATTATAATGAATAAAAATTTGGTTTTCTAAAAATTATCCAAAGACAGAGTTGCCACAGGTCAGGAAAATGTCAGGAATATTGTTAGTAAAAGTACCAAAATTCTCCAAAATTGCATTTTTTTTAGTGTTTTCAACAAAAATTTAAATTAGAAAACTTTTAAATTTTGTTTTTTTAAAATAAAAATATAAATTAAATTAAAAATTAAATTAAAATAATAACATTCTTTTGTGCCAGGGAAGAAGAAAATTAAATTTTTGTGGCAACCCTGAAAGACTCTACTTTATAATTAAATATAATAGTATTTACAGGTGAATTTTTGCCTTTAGAGAAAAATGACGAAAAAAGTGTTGACAGGCAATAAAAGACGAAAAAAAAAGTGATGCCTTACTTGTGTTCGCGATGTCTGCGCCCTTTTCGATCTTCCTCAGCTGGTTCCTCGTGATTCGGAGAAGTACTTCCTTCTTCTTTGATTTTCTCAAATTGAACTCTTGGACTTCCGAAGGGAGTGTCGTTAAATCCGGTAGCGGCTCTTTCCGAAGTTGGCGCTTCACTCTCACTATTTCCGTTATTTTTCACTTGATCATTAATTTTTTTAGTTACATTCTCATTCGCCTCCTTGTTGACTTCTTCATCGACGTTAAAATTCACTTGTTGGTCGTCTTTTGGAATTGAACTTTCGCTGTTATCAAGAACGTCCAATTCTTGCAAATTACTCGTTACACTGGGATCACTTCCCAATTGTTCCTCTTCAGGACTTGCTTCTGCAGTAGAACCTTCACTGAAACATTCATTCCAAATCTTTAATCATATTTCAATAATTTACCTCTTTAGTCTTTTCATTTTTATTTTTATTTTATTTATTTACTTATAAATAAGTAAATTGGTATTTATTTATATATCAAAACTACTTAAAAGTAACATTTGAATATAAAAATTTTTTTGGGTATCAAAAAATGCTCTCTCTTTAATTTTTCCTTAATGCGGAGTCATTTTTCTTTATTCAACGGTGAATTCTTATCATTCTCGGAGGAAAAAAAAAATGTAACAGCAAAATCCTTGAAGTTACTGTTAGACTTGTTGAAGAATCGATAAAAAAATTACCAAGCTTTGTGTGAACGGCACATCTGGAATATCTATTCATCGAGAGGAGTGGAGAATATTTATTTTATCACGAAATAGAAGGGCGATAAAGCTTTCAAGATATATATTACGTACTTTGAAAAATATAACGAAACAATTTTCAGAATTTTTTCGAAATTATAATATTCATATTTTATTCTTTCTGATGTGAGAAAGAAATAACAATATAAGCATAAAAGAGCTAGAAACAAATGATCAGTGAGCAAATTTTTCTTGGACGACTAATAAACATAAACAAAGATAGGACAGACTTCGTACACGATAATTAATTTTAAAAAAGTAGCAAAAAGTAGCTTTCAAAACTAAAAAAAAGTAACTATCGAAAAATTAAATTTGATGACAAAAAAAATCGTTTTAGACACTTCACGTAACTGACAAAAATTCCATTCTATATTATATTTTTCTGACTTTTTCCTAATAAAAACATTGAAAATATTTACTTCTTTCTTATCCATGATACTGAAGTCCGCAACGTTTTTAAAAACGAAAACGAAAAAATAAAGGGACGGTTTTTTTTATTTTTGATTGTAAATCATGTTAATTTTTAATAATTGTATCTTAAGCAACAATTAATTTCTTAAAAATTAAGAAACATGAAAATTAGAGATGAATTTAACTTAGAAAAAAATTCTTTTTTGATTTTTCGTTTTTAAAAACGTTGCGGACTTCAGCTTCATTTCTTATTCTGCTAATAAATTCAATTCCTGCAACGAATTTTATTATTCATGAAAGAATTTAAATATTTATAAAAATAATTTAATTCTTGCGAAGTATTTTATGAAAATGTTTAAATAGTTGATTTCTTTCTACTAATTTTGTGCAAATTCTAATTTAAATAATTGAATTCCTGAGAAATTTTTATTATTCATAAAAATAATTGAATTCTTACGCAGATTTTTACAAAATTTTTTTTAATTAATTGAATTGTGTTTCAGGATTTTATAATAATATAGAAGATATTGAAAATCATTGAATTGCGAAAAGTTTTTAAAAATAATTAAATTTTACAGAGAATTCTATTAAAATTGTTGAATTGAATGTCTGTGTGATATTTTATAAAATTTTTTTGAAAATAATTGAATTCCTAAAAAACATTTTATTATTTATGAAAATAATTGAATTCTTGCGAACGATTTTATTAGAATTTTTTTAAATAATTGAATTTCCAAGAAGAAATTTATTACTTTTAAAAATAATTGAATTCTTGTGATGAATATTGTTATTTTTTGAAAATTATTGAATTTTGCAAAGAATATTATTAAAATCTAAAATGCCTCAAAATAAAAAACTTTAGAAGAATTATTTATGAAAATAATTGAATTCTTGGGAAGAATTTTATTAAAATCTAAAACAATAATTTATTGAATTATTTCAAAAAAATTTAATTAAAATTTTATTTAAAATAATTGATTTTTTTCGAACAATTTTATTAAAATATTTTAAAAAATTGAATTCTTGCGAGAAATTTTATTAAAATGTTTAAAAATAATTGAATTTCTACGAAAAATTTTGTTATTTATTAAAATAATTGAATTTTGCAAAGAAATGTTGTTATTTTTTGAAATAATTGAATTTCTGTGAAATTTTTTTTTTATTTTTGAAATTAATTGAATTTTTCATTAAGAATTTTATAAACAATGTTTTAAATAATTAATTTTTTCGAAATATAATAAATATTATGAAAATTTTATTTTAAATAATTGAATTCTTTTGGAAAACTTTAGTTGTGAAAATAATTTAATTTTTCAATTAATTAACCACTTCACTGGCGGGGCGTTCCAAATGGCGTTCCACGCGCCGAGGCCCAGACTGGCAAAAACACCGAAATGGCGTTCCTAATAAAACATTATTTTTAAAGAGTGTACACTACTTTTAACTTATACAAAGCAATATTTCTATAGTTTAGACATCATGGAACAAGATTATCACAATAAAAATTTCAGTTTTTGGGATTTTCAATGTTTTTTCAAACAATGAAATAGTCAATTTTTACCACTTTTCAAAAAAAGGCGTTCCACTTTTTTTCAATTTTTACACAGTAAAACTCATATTTTTTATTTAAAAAATATATTTACATACAAAACATTATAATATAATAATGCAATAAGTAAAAAATAAATATAAATAATTAATAAATAAAATTTAATAATTATTAATAATAACAAAAGTGGAACGCCATTTGTTAAAAAGTGTTAAAAATCGACTATTTCAACGTTCAAAGAAACATTGAAAATCTCAAAAACTGAAATTTTCATTGTGATAATCTTGTTCCCTGATGTCTAAACTATAGAAATATTGCTTTGTAGTAGTAAAAAGTAGTGTACACTCTTTAAAAATAAAGTTTTATTAGGAACGCCATTTCGGTGTTTTTGCCAGTCTGGGCCTCGGCGCGTGGAACGCCATTTGGAACGCCCCGCCAGTGAAGTGGTTAATTTAAAATAGTATTAAAAATAATTGAAATCCTGCGATGAATTTTATTATTTATGAAAATAATTGAATAGTTGCTAAGAATTTTATTAAAATTTTCAAAAATAATCGAATTTTTGAGAAGAATTTTATTATTTATGAAAATCATTGAATTCTTGCGAAAAATTTTATTAAAATGTTTAAAAAGAATTGAATTTCTGTGAAAATTTTTTTAATTTTGAAAATAATTGAATTCTTTTGCGAAATTTTTTGAAAATACTAGATATTGAAAATAATTGAAATTCGAATATTTTTGAAAATAATTGAATCGTTTTAAAGAATTTGATTATAATATGTAATATTAATATTCAACATATATTTTAAATATTTTATATTTTAATTCCTTCTTTTTTGGATTAAAAAAAAATTAAAGTTACAAGTTTAGAATAAATTCAAAGAAGCAACCAGATCACAAAAAATACGAAATTTAAAACATTAAATTGAAATAAATATTTTAAATAATTTTTAAAAATTCTAAATTAACTATGATCGTAAAAGACATTTTTCGATCGAATTATTATAAAGGTTTAGTTCCTTTATTCACTTAGCAAATCGGGAAAAGTAATTTTTCAAACTGAATATCAAGAAGCTTCCTGCTCTAGATCCGCGTGTTTTACAAAAGTGCGGAAAGATCTCCGGATATAGTGCTATTCATGAAAATTCTAAGAACTTACGGTGATAAATGACGTCTCATAGATTTCGAATGAAGGCTCTTCAATGGCATATGAGGGTGAGGATAACTTCGTTTTCTGTATTCTGAAAAAGAAAAATAATTTTCCACATTTACAAAACTATATAAATAAAAATTAATCAATCTTCGCAATTCTCCATAAAATATAATACAAGATTTAATATTCTTTTTTGAATGAAACATTTCCGAGCAAATACGTGAAGGTTGAAAAAATGTCGAGAGTAATAAAGAAATATAAAAAGGAAAAACAGGAAAAGAAAATTAACTCTAATTTCATTATTGGTAAAATCATAAAGTTGACGAGTCCCATGAAAGTTAAATTGTGAAGAAAATGAAATAGTCGCATAATTAAAATAGAAATGAGAAATTCAATTGAGGATAAGAATGAAAATAAGTGTGAAAGCAAAGATATTAAAAAGATAAGATATAAAAATTTAGAGACGAAAAATTTTAATTTAAATGAAAATATTATCTATTGTGTAACATTGAGAGATTTTTAAAAATCCGTCAATCTTAAAATGTGAGATCAACATTTTGCTTTTGCATAGTAGAAAGTATAAAAGCAATAGAATTTCTAAAGGAGAACAGTGCCAACATTTCATTACATCATCAATGGACATGTCGTCAACAAAACACAATACCAAAGATTGCAAAAGCTGTCGTTATAGTTTAAGTACCTCATTAATAGTACACAGGCTTGTAAAACAGACAATTTTTTCGGACAAAATAAAAAAAATATAGAATAATTCAATTTTATTTAAATTATTACAAAGTAAAAAAATATCTTATTTTAAAGAAGCAATTCTTCTCTGAAATTCAATTATTTTCAAAAATTATAATAAAATTTAATTATTTTCATAAAACAATAAAAATTTTACAGGAATTAAATTATTCACAAATTTTCTATAAATTTCTTCGCTATATATTCAATTATTTTCACAAATAATAAAATTTTTACACGAATTCAATTATTTTTGTAAATAATAAAATTCTTTTAAGGAATTCAATTATTTTCTAAAATTTGAATAAAATTCTCGTAAAAATTTCAATTATCTTTATAAATAATAACATTCTTCTCCAAAATTCAACTATTTTCCAAAAATTTTAATAATTCAATAAAATTTTGGTATTTTGAAAAATAGTGACCAAAACTTTCAAATATTCCCTTCATATTTAACGACATATTTGGTCCGCCATCTTGAAATTTTTAATTCTAGTTTACGTTTCTTGAAAGTATACAATTTTTATGCAGTTTAGAATAATAGACAGTTCAGAATAATAAATTAATGACTTTCATTTTAAAAAAGTATTTATCTTACATAATGTATTTTGACAATCTTCCAACTTTTTTTTTACTTTAAAAACACTAAATTATGTCATATTTTGAATGACAGAAATGTTCCTAATTTTAGTTTAAATTATAGCAGTAGCTTCTTGGCATTTTCTTAAATTTAAAATAATTTTATTGTCCGTGAACACATATTGCGTTTTTGAAAAAATTAAAAGATTTACTGAATGAACCACACACCTATAGTGTGTAGTTTTATGTGTCTAGTTAATTCTACAGAATTGTTAGTTAAAAGTACGAAAAACAATAATTTAATTCTACGAGAAATCAATTATTTAAATACAAAAATAAATAAAATTGAATGTTTCTTAAAATTTAATTTTTACGAAGAACTGTATTAACAAAAAATAATTGAATTCCTGAGAAGAATTTAAATAATAATTTTTAAAAACAATTGAATTCATGAGAAGAATTTTAATAAAATTTTTGAAAATAATTAACTTCTTGAGAAGAATTTTAAACAAAATTTTGACAATAATTTAATTCTTGAGAAGAATTTCCCTATCTATTTATAAAGATAATTTAATTCTTCACGAGAATTTTTAAAAAATTTTGAAAATAATTTAATTTCTGCAAAGTATTTGATTACTTTTCAAAAGAATTGAATTTTTCAGATGAATATTGATATTTATCAAAATAATTGAATTTTGGAAAAGAATTTTATTAAAATTCCTTAAAAAAAATTGATTTTATGGGAAGAATTTATTCGATTTTGTTGTTTATCAAGTTAATTGAATTCTTTTGCAAAATTACTTAAAAATTTTTGAAAATAATTGATTTTCGGCGACGAATTAAATGTTATTTATGAAAATATTTGAATTATTGCAACGAATTTTATAGTTTTATTAGATAATTGAATGTTTCTTAAAATTGAATTGTTTCCTCAAGTTTTAATAAAATTTTTAATAATAATTGCATTTTTCAATGAATTAATTTAAAATTGAACTAAAAATATTTAAAATTCTGCGATGAAAATAATTGAATTCGTAAATGAAATTTTATTATTCATGAAAATAATTGAATCTTTTCGTAGAATTGTATCAACAAGTTTTTTCTATAATTAAATTTGTTGATAAATTTTATGAAAATAGTATATATTTAAAAACATTGAATTGCAAAAAACTTAAAAATAATTGAAATGTTGCAAAGAATTTTATTTAAATTTATGAAAATAATTGAATTTTTGGCATAAAATTTTGCTATTTATAAAAATAATTGAATTCTTGACGAGATATTCATTCAAATTTATAAAAATAATTGAATTCGTGCAATTTTATTAAATTTTGTTTAAATAATTGAAATTTTGCCAAGAATTTAATTAAAATTTTTGACAATAATTGAATTTTGAAGAAGAATTTTATTATTTTTTAAAAATACTTGAAATTTTGACAAGAATTTAAAAAAATTTTTTAACATAATTGAATTTCTGCGAAGTATTTTATTACTTTTTGTAAATAATTGAAATTCCGCAATCATTTGTAATTTGTTTCTAAAATTCAATTTTTTTTTAGTGATTTCAACTAAAATTCATTTTTTAAATCAATTTTTAATAGTAAATTTTACGAGAATTCAATTATTTAAACACAAAAATAAATAAGTTTTTAAAAAATTGAATGTATTTATGAAAATAAATGAAATTATTGCGTAGAAATTTAATAAAATTTGTAAATAATTGAATTTCTGTAAAATTTTTATTATTTAAGAAAATAATGAAAGGTTCGCGTAAAATTTTATTGGAAATTTTATAAATAATTGAATTCTTTTGGAAAAATTTATTAAAACAGTAACTATTGAAAATCATTGAATTGTGGAAAATTTTTGAAAATAATTGAATTTTTGACAAGAATTTTATTAAAATTTTTGAAAATAGTTGAATTTTTGAGAAGAATTTTATTATTTATAAAGATAATTGAAATTTTGACGAGAATTTTATTAAAATTTTAGAAAATAATTGAATTCCTTAAAAGAATTTTATTATATTTACGAAAATAATTGAATTCCTAAGAAGAATTTTATTATTTGCGAAAATAATTGAATTCGTGTAAAAATTTTAATATTTATGAAAATAATTGAATGATTGGGAAGAAATTTATAAAAAATTTGTAAATTATTGAATTCCTGTGGAATTTTTATTATTTTATGAAAATAATTAAATGTTTGCTTAGAATTTCAACAAAATTTTTGTTAAATAATTGAATTGTTTTGTAAAACTTTATTAAACTAGTAGATATTGAAAATCATTGAATTGAGGAAAATTTTTGAAAATAATTGAAATTTTGACAAGAATTTGATTAAAATTTTGTAAAATAATTGAATATCAGAGAAGAATTTTATTATTTATAAAGAGAATTGAAATTTTGACAAGGATTTAAATAAAAAATTTAAACATAATTGAATGTCTACGAAGAATTTTATTATAATTTTAAAAATAATTGTATTCCTTAAAAGAATTTTATTATATTTACGAAAATAATTGAATTCGTGTAAAAATTTTATTATTTATGAAAATAAAATTGAATGATTGCAAAGAAATTTATAAAAAATTTGTAAGTAATTGAATTCTTGCAAAATTGTTATTATTTATGGAAATAATAAAATTAAATGTTTGCGTAGAATTTAATTAAAATATTTTTTTAAATTACTGATTTCTTTTTGCCAATTTTTTTTTTTTAAAATAATTGAATACTTGAGAAGAATTTTAATCTTTATCAAAATAATTAAATTTTGAAAGAGAAGTCAATTAAAAATCCTTAAAACAATTGATTTACTCACGATTAATGTCATGATCGCCATGACGCGCTGATGGTACTCGATCGCGTTCTCGATCGGATCCCACCGATTCAGAAGGGGATCCAAATCGGGCTACGTCGAATTTGTCTCCAGCATCCATCGCGAAGACCTTCTCCATCTCCTCGTCGAGTTCTTGTACCGTTTCCGTGCCATGACCGTCAACCTGCAAAACAATAAAAACTTTAATTATAACAAGCGAAATACTATCAAAGCAATTTTTTAAAGTTTATTAAAAAAATGCCTCTCTTAATATACATTTTCATTATAATTAACAGGATTAACAGTTAAAAAATAAATTTCCTGGTCAATCACTTTCAATCATGAAATAAAAACTATACCCAACTCTCTTAAAAATCAATAATTTTAATTATTCAATTTAAGCGCACGAGGTAATCACAATTGCTTTCCATAAGAGTATATATATGCTTTTATCGAAAAATGACACAAGCCGGAAAATCAAATTTCGATCAAGAACATTCGGGAAATGAAGATTTAAATTCAATAAATGAGAAAAAATGAGTTGTAATTAAATCGCTGATTTCTAGGAACAGTCTAAGAAAGCAGTCTATACAGACATGATCATAAAAATAAACATACATAATTTCTCTTAAGTCAAAAGTAGCGTGTAAATAAATTTCCCCCCAAAAAAAAAAAAAACGAAATTGCAATTCCCGCGACACAATTCCTCTCGTTTTGTCAGGACCGCAGCATTCGCCCGACTGGGACCGGAACCGGAAAGTATCCGAAGGCCGGGTCGATGCGGGAATCAACCTTGAACTTGAGCTTTCGTGAGTGACCGCGAGTTGCGTCAGGTCGAGACGGGAGTGCAATGTGTAACAAGTAATAAATCAAACATGACTCACACTATCTGCACTCCGATCACGAATTCACATTAATTATTCATTACCTCTTTACCAAGTCATATCGAATCATGCTCACGGTTAGGCTCAACGTTCCGCAAGGAAATCAAAACAGAAACATTCTGAGATGCTTCACAGCTTTAATACCTTTTTCTTGTCTATACATTTCATATGCAATTATGTATTGAAACTTTTTATTTTTTTAAGTTCAAATTCATCTTAATGGGATTAAAAAACAATTAAAATTAAAAAAATACAAAAGCTTTTAAAAAATTTATCAATTTTTAACAATCTGATAATTGTTGGAAAAAAATGATTTTGAAACTGTCAAATTTGGTTCCCCAACGTTTTCCCGAATTTAATGTCACGAAATCATTTTTCCCGACAACAGGACTCGAACCAGTGAAAGTATTTAAAAAATACGGACTTTACGGAGCAAAAATAAAAAATTACGCACCTACGGATCAATTGCTGACAAACAAATATAACCAGTCCGAGTCAAATATAAGAGAACTATAAATTAAATATAATTAATATAATTAACTAAAACTATAAATTAAATTTTTCATAACTATAAATCCATTATTATTCATAATTTTAGAAAAAGTTCTTTAACAATTTTCAAATTCATTTGTTTACAATTCAATTTTACAAAAATTATTCAATTGTTAGTCAACTCTTGAATGAAATATTTATTAGAAAATAAAAACTTTAAATAATAAAAAAAATCTGCAATTAAAGTTACTAAAAAAATGTTATTTCGCAGAATTGTTAGTTAAAAATATGTAAAATTTAAATTTTCAAAGATTTAAATACAAAAATAATAATTTCTTAAATAATTGCATGTTTTTTAAAATTGAATTCTTATAAAGGATTTTAATAACAAATTTGTAAATAATTGAATTCTTTTGAGGAATTTTAATAAAATTTTTAAGAATTTTTTGAGAAATTCGATTAAAATTGTATTCAAAATAATTTATTGAAATTCCGCAATGAGTTTTATTATTTATGAATATAATTGAATTCCTAAAAAGAATTTTATTATTTACGAAAATAATTGATTTACCAAAAAGAATTTTATGATTTATAAAAATAATTAAATGTTTGCATAGAATTTTATAAATAATTTTGAAAATAATTGAAATTTTGCTAAGAATTTTATTAAAATTTAAGAAAATAATGGAATTTTGAAGAAAAATTTTATTGCTTGTAAAAATAATTGAAATTTTGCCAAGAATTTTATTAAAATTTTAGAAAATAATTGAATTTTGGAGAAGAATTTTATTTCTTGTAAAAATAATTGAAATTTTGCCAAGAATTTTATTAACATTTTAGAAAATAATTGAATTTCGAAGAATTTTATTTGTTGTAAAAATAATTGAAATTTTGCCAAGAATTTTGTTAACATTTTAGAAAATAATTGAATTTCGGAGAAGAATTTTGCTTATAAAATAAATAATTGAAATTTTGCTAAGAATTTTATTAAAATTTTAGAAAATAATTGAATTTTGGAGAAGAATTTTGCTTATAAAAATAATTGAATTTCGGAAAAGAATTTTATTTCTTGTAAAAATAATTGAAATTTTGCCAAGAATTTTGTCAACATTTTAGAAAATAATTGAATTTTGGAGAAGAATTTTGCTTATAAAATAAATAATTGAAATTTTTATAAGAATTTTATTAAAATTTTAGAAAATAATTGAATTTTGGAGAAGAATTTTGCTTATAAAAATAATTGAATTTCGGAAAAGAATTTTATTGCTTGTAAAAATAATTGAAATTTTGCCAAGAATTTTATTAAAATTTTAGAAAATAATTGAATTTTGAAGAAGAATTTTATTGCTTGAAAAAAAATAATTGGAATTTTGATGAGAATTTTTATAAATTTTTGAACATAATTGAATTTTTGCAAAGAATTTTATTACTTTTTAAAAATAATTGAAATTCCGCAATCATTTGTAATTTGTTTCTAAAATTCAATTTTTTTTTTTAGTGATTTCAACTAAAATTGATTTTTAAATCAATTTTTAATAGTAAATCTTACGGGAATTCAATTATTTAAACACAAAAATAAATAATTTATTGAAAAATTGAATGTATTTAAGAAAATAACTAAAATTATTGCGAAGAAATTTAATAAAATTTGTAAATAATTGATTTTCTGTGAAATTTTTATTATTTAAGAAAGTAATGAAATGTTCGCGTAAAATTTTATTGGAAATTTTTGAAAATAATTGAATTCTTTTGGAAAAATTTATTAAAACAGTAGATTTTGAAAATCATTGAATTGTGGAAAATTTTTGAAAATAATTGAAAAATCCTTCAACGAACAGAATATATCAGTTAATAATTGTTTTTAATTGTAAAACTAAATAATTAAAAAATGAAAAAAATTAATTTTATTTATAAAATTCTATTTTGTGGTAAAAACCACTTAACTTCTTAGTTCGAGCTGACATGAATGGGTTGAATATCCTTAAGTGTAACAAACTTTTCCCCTAAGTGAAAAGTATTAAAGCGAGAAAATTTCCTGGTATAAAAATAAAAGTACATTAACTATTAATGGAAAGTAAGTTTCGTGTTTAAAAACACCTTACTAGCGTGACTGATAAAAAAAATATTTTTTGTTTGTGATTCATTTAAAAGATGAGCATTCTGAACTATTGGATTTTTAAGTTGTTTAGAAATTAGGATACATTTCCATTGACGTAAAGTTTGGTGCAGTTGTTAACTTTAATTATTCGATTCATATGATAGTATTGACTGTTTATATCGGTCTTTACATTTCCAAATGAAACTTTTAAGCTTTAGTTCGCCAATGGAAACTATAATCAATAGTGTGAACTTGTTAATTAACAATTTGCTCAAACTCTACGATTTCTCGTCTCAATTTCAGCATGGCAAAAAAGTTTGGAATTTTTACCACGCAATGGGACTTGCAAAGGGAAGATTTTCTGAAAATTTTTATTTACTTATATTTTTTTTAATTTATATTTTATTTATTTTAATTTAATTATTTTATATAAATATATATATATATATATATATTTAATTTCAGATTTCGAACTCGATAATTAATTTTAAAAAAGTATCAAAAAGTAGCTTTCAAACTAAAAAAAAGTAGTAAAAAAGTAGCTATCGAAAAATTATACTTGACGACCAAAAAAACTCGTTTTAGACACTTCACGAAACTGACAAAAATTCCATTCTATATTTTATTTTCTTGACTTTTTCCTAATTTTCATCAAAAATATTTACTTCTTTCTTATCCTGCTAATAAATTGAATTCCTGCAACGAATTTTATTATTCATGAAAAAATTTAAATATTTATACCTAAAAATATTTTAATTCTAGCGAATAATTTTACGAAAATTTTTAAATAATTGATTTCTTTCGACTAATTTCATGAAAATTCTAATTTAAACAATTGAATTCCTAAGAAATTTTTATTATTTATGAAAATAATTGAATTTCGCAAAGAATTTTATTAAAATGCCTCAAAATAATTGGATTCTTGGGAAGATTTTTATTAAAATCTAAAATGAAAATTCAATTATTTAAAAAAAATTTAATTAAAATTTTGTTTAAAAGAATTGATTTCTTTGGAACAGTTTTATTAAAATATTTGAAAATAATTGAATTCCTGTGAAAAATTTTAATATTTTTGTAAATAATTGAATTCTTCCAAAGAATTTAAAACAAAAATTAAAATTGTATTAAAAATAATTGAAATTCTGCAACGAGTTTTATTAATTATGAAAATAATTGAATTATTGCCAGGAATTTTATAAAAATGTTTCAAACAATTTATTTCTTCCAAAAACATGTTTGCAAATTTTATTTTCAATAATTGAATTCCTGTGAAAATTTTATTTTTTTTGAAAAATAATTGAATATTCGTGTACAATTCTATCAGAATTTTTGTTTAATAATTGAATTCTTTTGGAAAATTTTATTAAAATAGTAGACTATTGAAAATTATTGAATTAAGAAAAAATTTTTAAAATAAATGAAATTTTGCCATGAATTTTATTAAAATTAATGAAAATAATTGAGATTTATTACTTTTAAAAATAATTGAATTTTGTCGATCAATTTTGCTATTCATTTATAAAGATAATTGAAATTTTGAGGACAATTTTTTTTAGATTTTTTGAAAATAATTGAATTTCTGCGAAGTATTTTATTATTTATGAAAATAATTGAATTTTATCAATTTTTTTAAAATAATTGAATTCTTTTGCGAAATTTCATGAAAATAGTAGAATATTAAAAATTATTGAATAAGAAAAAATTTTGAAA